TTCTTCGTGTATGTTGCTTAAAATTGATGGTTGGTCATGAAATATTCAGTTATTTAAAATAGAGAAAGCCTACCATCGAGATCTCAAAATACTGTAGATGATACTGTAATCATTTATGATTCTGGAAGTGCAAATACCAATAATAATTAAAAGGGAAAAACGAAGGCATATTTTTCAAAATTTTAATAACCATATTTTCGATTTCGTTTCCAAAGCATGCTTGAGACAAAGTTTGCATGTTTTTTTTATTTAAAGATATTTTAATTATACTGTATCAAGGCAAAGATTAAGCAAAATAGTTCAAAAAAGTATTTTTCAATAACATTGTTCTCATATCCTATTGCAGCATCGATAATAAAAAAGAAAAAAAATGAGAGATGAATAATTGTCGAATATTTATATATGAAAGCGAAAGAAAAACCTAATTAATCCTCAAACAATTTTTTGAGGCTCTAAACGAATTCCAAAAAGAAAACTATTATATTCTTCATATTATTATATTAATAACCAAATTAAGTGATTGTAGGGAAATTTATTCATCACCTTTTTATCTTACTATTTTTTTTAATCAGATAAAAAACCGACACTATATTAGATTGTAGTGCAAATAGTGGAAGCTTGTAGCCAAGAAAATAATCTTGTTTTCATTATGGCTTTGCCTTGATTATATCCTCCCGAAGTTAATTATTATTATTTATTTTATTAATGTGGTGGCTCGATTATGAAATTCTCATAGCTAGAGTTAAGGATTGCAGACATTATCAATTTTTTTAGTTCAAATTCAAAAGCTTTTAATAATTTGTATTTTCCTCAAAAACATGTTTTTATATTATAATTAAATTTATATTATATTAAACAATTTTATGTTGTTTGATCCTTAATTAGATCAACGATGTTACTCATAGAGCAATTGTTAGCTAATTTTTAGCTATGCTATTTTAGTTTTGCTTTTTCAAACTGACTTTTTTAATCCCTCCATAAAATATATTACATTATCTTGATTTTCTTAAATTAATTTCTTAAAGGAGGTGAATGAAAATAGTAATAAAAGATCTAAAAGTTCGTAATTGTAATGAAAATAGTAACATAGTTAAAATGAAGTCAAAATATTAAATAATTTCTTATTTAGAATTTTTAAGAAAAATTGAAATAAATATTTTTTTGCTCTCGTCCCACTAGCTGTTTATATTGAATTAAATTGTGCTTTTCAAGTTTATATTGTATTTATTTGTGCTTTGCAAGCTTACATTTTATTTAGTTCTGCTTAGCTAGCTTATATAGTGTTTTGTACAGTATTTTTAAATAAATAGCAGCAATATATCCTGAACATCCTGAACTACAGTTTTCGTCTATTTTAAATTCTTATTTTTTTTTTAAATTCGATTTTTACATATCATTTAGACGTTGTATAATGTAAATTGTTTTGAATAATTTACCATGTTCTCAAGGGTTTGAGTTTGGCAGTGGCAAGTTATTATTTATGTGCAAATGTATATGCCGTGGATTGGCTCTTAGCTTAAGAGACTCTTCTAGGGCATACTCAGTGTCTGAATAGGTTGTTCTTAATTAAATATTTTATTTAAGGGAGAAAACTAGCAGTTGGGCGTTATGTTAGCTAAATTCTCTCTTTATCCTCTACTTTGTTCCAGGACCGTTGTACCTTCCTGACTTAGTACTAACCCTTCTAGTATTTAAGTCATACTGTCAAGCAACCGGTCCTTCACGGCCAATCCAGTGATTGGGATATGGAATATGATTGAGCAAGTTCAATCAATGACCTTAATTCCTTACGAAGAAGGATAATTGGATCTTGTGAAACAATAACACACATCCAGTGCCGTTCTGCCACTGCTGCTGTTGACGAAGATGCCGAGCCTGTCTGAATGCCCAAGGAAATCACTTTTAAAAACATTTAATAGGAATTTTAATGTTTACATTTAACTAATAAAGTAGTTAGAACAAATAAATAGGTTTTATTTATTTTATATAACGTGAATAATTCATAACAACGAAAATCTTTGAATATCACCGAAACAAACCGTTTGCTGGCATACCTTCAGAGGAAATTATTATATTGTTTTTAGGTCCTTTGTTTATTTTTGCAGTTGGCCACTTAACCCTGAAATACCCTGTATAATGTGAATTCTCTATGATTTTAATACAAGTTTCAAAATTTTTCATGTGATATTTTAAATATATCTTTCACTTCAATAAGGAATTTGGAAATGATTGCCACTCTTCACACCTTTTTTAAAAAAAATATTTTTATTAATTTTTCTACTTTTTAAATATTTATTTACTTTCACGAACTAATTAAAACTTAAGTTATTAAATCTTCGTTCATAAATTGTCTGACGGCGTTTCAAATTCTTTTTCAAGTAAAAATAAATATCTTTTGATTAAATAAAAAATCAATAAAATGTTCTTAATTTTCGTCAACATATTAGATTTCTATAATATTACATAATGGGAGTGGGGTAGCTCAGTGGTAGGGTACTGAGCTTCCAATGCTAAAGGTCCCAGGTTCGAATCCCGGCTCATAACAGAAAAATTATTGATCTGAGCTTGATCTCGATCAAATCACCTCCTTGCACAACCGTAGACCAAGAATTAGTGCTTTCTCTAAACAGTACTCAACCCAAGACCCTTCATGGATTATAGTGGTACAGGTTATATTTATTACATAGTATTATATATTTTTTTATTCTATTTCTTAAATAATTTCTATTTTGGACATTGTTTTGTTGTAGTTAGATGATGAAGGACTAATTATTAAAGAAATATAATAAAATACAAAGAATAATCTCATGAAATAGTATACAAACATGATATATTGACAAAAATGAAGACATTTTTATATAATTTAAATTTATTTAATGTCTATAGCCTACGTATTTTTCACATTAAAATAGACAAAAAGCATGAGAAGTTTTCAGATAATTTATGAATGAAAATTTAATATATTATTATTAAAGAAAGGGTTCGAAATGTTATAAAAGTAATAAATGATAATAGTTATAAAAGTAAATAAATGATTAGAAATCAATATACCTTTTTGATTAAAATAATATTAAGAAAATTATGATAGTGTGTCTTCTATATCCCTATTAATAAAATATTGTATATCCTTGTGTTATTCTTTTCCGGAATCGTATTACAACACCTAAATATTCAAAATGTTTATATTATGCTTATCAGCATAATAGTTTTTCATTGGTATTGAAAATCGGTTTATTCTGGATTTTTTAGATAGAAACACATTTTAAAAGGTGTACACAGGTTTTTCCAAAATAATCAGAAAATCTTTTGTACATGCTAATATATTAATATAGAAAATGCGATTTTCAATATTCAAATAAGCGTTTCACGCCTATACTCAAATATTTGTAGTGATGCGATGATTTATGATCGTGGTTTCTAAAAAAAAATTCTAATTCAATATCATTATATAAATATCTTAAAGTTTTCTTGAAGTCATTTACTTATTGTTTAATTCTTTTGATGATAGCTTAAAAAGGTTGTTGTAATAGTGCCTCGAATTTTCAGATTTTTTTTTGCAAAAGACATTCTGATATCAACATTTCTGGCAAGGGAATCTCTCTTGAGTTATTATATATATTTCTGATGATATCAATATACTATATAATAATCAATAATACATTATATAAAATGATAGTATAATGATAATAATCAGTTTACATTATTTGATGTTTTTTGTTTGTTTTTGTTTTGTTGTTTACCGCTGTCCTTCCCTAACAGTTTTCGAAAGTAAAAGCCCTACATGAAATTGTGTTCAACAATAAGTTTAATGTATCGTGTTCTTCATACATGAGTTTTTTAAAAATTTCGAATCATTTTAATTCGCTTTTTTGATATTTTGAGATATTAGTGTAGAGTGTATCAAAATATAAAGTTGTAAAATGTGAGATATTGATTTACAAAAAATTATAAATTTATTCTTATTAATAATTGCTATGTAATATCAATTTTATGTTGTTTGCTATGATTTTTCAGGCGAAATTAATAAAAACATTTCCAACAAATATATATATATATATATACGTGAAACTTTTAAAAACTAAAAACCAGAAAAGCGCAACATACATCAAACTGCAAAAATAGTAAAAATATTAACATAACAGCCCTAGCAAACCACAGTATTAAATAACTTCACACTTTTGACTTCAAAAACCCAGAAATACTGGCAATAGAACCTAACACAAATAATATGAAACTGCTGGAAGCTATACATATAACAAAAAACAATAAAAGAACAATAAACTATAAAACAGATACAAAACATTTAGGTACACACTATTCGAACATAATATCCAATATTAAAATTTAAAATTAACAATAATAGCCAAAAAAAAAACACAAGAAACAACCATAATAAGAAATGAGAGGATGGATACAAAGTACAGAAATAAAAGTAAAGATAGCTAGATGTTGATTAGTGTATCAATGAATATGTGTAACACCAAAAAATAGTTTTTAAAAAATGTGACAAATATTTAACTTTTGACAAATGGTGCCACATCAAAAAAAGAAATGTAAATAATTGTAAAATAGATAAATTAGAACGATATTGTTAAATAAAAGTTAATATAAAAAATGTGCATAATTTCAGTAAAAATAAAGATTGCTCTGATCTGAGAAAATTGTCCCGAAACGTAAGAGACAAAAAACATAATTTAAAAAAATATGAAGAAAATTGGAAGTTTTATTGCCCAAAATATAAATAAAAATAATAAAAACATATGTATCCCAGGCTTATTACTGTGATTATCATCAGAGTTTTTAAATTACTAATTTATAACTGAACTTGTTGGTGATTTTATATTTTTATTATCAACTGAACAATGGCTAGAGATCGTTGTTATACTACTTTTTTTTTTAAATTCATACAATTTTTATTCCATTACACGAATCATTGTTGTATTATTAAATAAATATTATTTACTTTATTTATTTATTAATTAGGTGAAATATTTTTCCAGATGGTGACTCCGGAAGGACAGGCCCAGGAGGACACCACACTCAGCAAGCTGAGGCATACATTGTCCACCAGCCTCATGACCGCACAGGACAAGGGTGCGTACTCTTCTTACATTCAAACTGTAATTGTTGTTAAGTTGTATACATGCAGCAGTTGATAACATATCATTAACAATTATTTGTGTTAAAATTAAGTCTTGATATACTCTTCTATATTAAATGGAACATGGATTGGACATTACGGAGATTGAGGGAATTTAAACTGTGAATTAGTCGATTTGATTATGGAAAAAATAAGGTAAAGAATTACTTTATTTATCGTTCTTAATTTTTTTTTCTATTTTTTATTAATTAATGATGACAGAAAGTAACTTATATTTTTTGTATAATGACTATTAAATTACTCTGTATTTTTGTTTATGTATATCTAAGTCTCCTTAGCCAACATTTCTGTATTGTTCTAAAGGGACTCGTCCCAGATTAAATAAAGTATTATTATTATTTTATTTAAGCAGTCATCCTATTGGCCTAAGAGTGCAAGTCACACGCTTTAACTAAAATTAATATTTTTTGATTGATACTTTGATACTTTGATACTTGAAAATCGATACTTAATTGATATTAAGAACTAATAATAGACTTACAAATAAACTAATAACCTATAAAAATAAAATAAAATAAATAAAAAAAGACAGAGTAATATACAAAAAAATATTGAGAAAATATAAGAACAACGAAATCCATGTATATAAGTATTCTTTAGTTAAGCAACGTACAGTTTTATTGTACTTTTCTCCTATCTCGATATAGACCAACTACGTATACCATTTATTTTTGTTTTTTTTTCTTCTTTTTTTCTCCATTTTCATTTCATTTTTTTTCTCCTATCTCTCTCCTTCATCCGTTATTACCTTATTTATTCTTCTTTTCCACTGGGACCTTCATGATTTTTTACTATTTTTCCTTGATAGTCTTCCTCTTTAATTCCTATTATTTCTACTTCTTTTAATTGTTCCAGATATACTATTATTTTTTTTCAGTCCCACCACTTTATCGGGTATTTGTTCGTTTAACCTATTCCGATCCATTATCATTATATTAAAAATATTAATCTCCTTTTTCTCATCAATGTTTCTTCATATTCAAACCAAACCCTACAATTGATTCACAGTCTATTGTTTATGAATAGCAATTTAAATACAAATAGATAAAAGTAAAAAAGTGATTTTAAAGATTGTTTTTAAGTATTTATATATATCTTTATATAATAAGGAGGTTATTGAGACAACAAAATTTCAATGAAAAGCATAATAAAACCGTACTGTGCTTTTATGTAATTTTTTTTCCAGCTGAGCGTTCAAATATCACTTTTGTCGACACGGCTATCGCTCAGTTGAATATATATACCAACACATTAAAACTTAAATTAAAACATTCAATTATGTTAATAAAAAACACAAAAAAAGTAGCAGAAGGACGAGCTTTTATCTGAAGCTTCAATGGATATCAAAAACTATTTCCTGAAAAGTAAAAACGTTTTTTCGATAAGCCATTTTTATTATCTCTTTCTTTCATCTCATGATCTGATACAAATAACGTATAATATCCGCACTCCTCCAATCCATCCTCGAACTATCACTTTCCGCCAACTGGATACCCTTACTCGAGAAAAAATATTACCTGATCTAGTAACATTGGATTTGAATGGAATATATCATTGCTCCTCTGTCGACACCATGGTTGATATTCTCACCACCAATCTTCTCAATATACTCAATACCCACGCTCCTCTCAAAACCTCCATTTTCCGTCATCGTCCTGCTCCTTGGATGTGTCAGGAAATTAAGGATCTGCAGAAGAGACGCGACGCTGCACGCAGACGCTTCAGACGGACTAGGCTTGCAGATGATTATAAAATATTCAGAGTGCTTCGTAACACGACACAGATAAGGATCCGACAAGCGAAAGCGAACTACTTTCACGAAGCCCTTTCCTCAGCTCCTGATATCAAATCAAAATGGCTTCTACTTCGTAAGCTTTCCCTCTGTGAACCTTCTAGATCCCCTTCCTCAGTTTTCCCAATATCACCTGATGACCTAAACTCCCACTTTATATCGGTTTCCACCTCTTCTTTACCATCCCCTTCTGGCTTTTCTCCAGAGGTACCTTTTAACGACAATAATTTTTATTTTTCCGACATTTCTCCCACAGACCTTATTACCGTTATAATGAAATCCCGTTCCAATTCCGTAGGCCCAGATGGCATTCCTATCAAACTAATAAAATTATGTCTCCCTGAAATCCTCCCAGCACTCCTTTTCATCTACAATTTCTCCCTGCAGAATTCAATATTCCCGACATCTTGGAAAAAAGCCATTGTCCTTCCTTTAAACAAAAAGCCTAATCCATCCTCTCCCGAAGATTTCCGCCCAATATCAATCCTTTCCAATCTTTCTAAACCCCTAGAAAAGTTAGTGCAATCCCAAGTTTCCAACTACCTTGAACAATCCAACCAACTCGATCCTCTCCAATCTGGCTTCCGTCCTGGCTACTCTACACAATCTGCTCTGATTAAAATTACTAGTGATATCCAGACTGCAATAGATGACAAAAAACTAACCATACTTATACTGCTTGATTTCTCCAAAGCTTTCGATTCCATTATCCATTCCATCCTTTTCAACAAACTAAAATCATTATCCTTCTCCAATAGTTCCATCTCTTGGTTCCAGTCTTTCCTCTCACAACGAACCCAAGCAGTTTCCATACCTAATCAACCTCTATCTGCCTACCTTCCTTTATCCTCAGGAGTTGCACAGGGTTCAAGCATGTCTCCTCTTCTTTTCAGTTCTTATATTAATGACCTAAATGATTCAATTATCCATTGTTCCCACCACCTATATGCCGACGATTCTCAAATCTATTTATCCTTTTCTCCCGCTGAGTTATTGGTGGCATTTGCCAAAATTCAAGAAGATTTAGATCGAATTAGTGCCTGGGCCAACTTAAATGGATTACGGCTAAATGCTGCCAAAACTCAGGCCATTCTCATTGGTTCCAAGCCCCTTCTTAGATCCCACACCAACTTTCCCTCACTCTATCTAAACAACCACCCCATCACCTTCTATCCCTTTGTTAAAAATTTAGGCTTTCTCATAGATCAAACCCTTTCCTGGAATCACCATATCTCTCATATATCCCGCCGTGCAATTTCTACCCTCAAACTATTCCATCACTTCCGCCATCTTCTACCCCAAAATACCCGTAGACTCCTAGTTTCCTCTCTCATCTTTCCCCACTTTGACTACAGCTGTGTGGTGTACGATGGCCTCTCGGTGGAACTGCGTGATAGACTCAAAAGACTTATGAATTGCTTCGTAAGATTTGTAATTGGAACCCCGAGACGCTCCCGTGTCTCCCACCACTACACTGAGTTAGGGTGGCTCTTCCCCTCCTTAAGAAGACAATATTTCCTTGGCACTTTCCTTTATCAAATCATTACCGATCATCGTCCTTCTTATGCCTACAACCTTCTCCAATTTAAGTCCTCAATCCATTCACTCACTACAAGATCCCGACCCTCTGACCTATACATCCCTTCTCATAGATCTGCCTCATTCCAAAATTCCTTTATAGCCCGCTCTGTCAACTTTTGGAATTCCCTCCCGATCAAAATTCGACATGCCCCTTCCCTATATACATTCAAAAACCTCCTATTCCAATTCCTGTTCCAAAAACAGTCTGATACCAGCTAACGATTAATATTATATATGTATTGTGTAGCAATCATATAATCATAACACTTGGTAAGAGATAGTACATGCATTTCCTACTATCGACGTAGGAATTTCAATACATACATTTTTTTTATTTTTTTTATTCAATTATAAGTAACTGTTTATTTTTATATATATATTCAAGTAAAGTTTTTTTTTTTTTTTTTGTTTTGTTTTTTATGAAATGAACTCATTGTATCTCTTTTTCGTTCTTCATTTCTCAAAGTGTATGTTTATGTTGTTCAACCCTTAAATATAATTTTGTTCATAGTTCAAGTGATTCGTTCATTGTTTTAATTGTTTTGTTCATAATTTTAAATGCTCTGTACATAGTTTTATCTGTATTGTATATAGCTTGTGCACCTAAGGTTTTCTTTACTTTTTATTTTATTTTATCAATTTTATTTATTGTTTCAACATTCAGGCCAGTATTATTCTATTATTTTGTACATTATAGTTATTCTGAAGGGACTTAGTCCCAGAATAAAGTTTTTTTTCTATCTATCTATCTATCTATATATATCGATTTTTTTTTCGGTTGGCACTACAGACCATGAAGATCTTCGGCAGCGAGATATGATCTTCCTACAGACATATGCTGCTTACGGGAGCTCAGATATCCTGGAGGGAGTCATCCAACCTAACGTTGCTACAAAGCATGGTCTCCATGGTGCAGCGGCAGGCCACCCACCCGTAGCCTCATAGCCAATCCCTTTGGGACCAATCTGGCAATGTCCTTCCCACCGACTCTCTCGGGTTCAAGAACAATGACAAATCGGTCTAGATCCATGGATTATGGATGCTCGGAGTCAGCTGGCGCACGAGGACCTATATTTCTTTCCCCGAAACAGACGGTCCATGGACCAAACCTCAGGGAGGCTATTAATATCCTGGTAAATCACATCCCGATTCCCGATTTAAGTATATGGGGTAGTGTCATCATTCCTATTCCCGGTGGGTGTGAGTTGCCTCCAGTAGGCTGACGGGTCTCACATACCCTGGGGGACTCGGGCAGCATGGCTTTCGTTGGTGGACGGTCACCCATCCAAGTACTAACCACGCTCGACGTTGCTTAACATTGATTACCTATTGCAAGCGCTTTAGCCTGTACGGCTACCCCAGCCCCATATATATATATATATATATATATATATATATATATATATATATATATATATATATATATATATATATATATATATATATATATATATAGTTTAAAAAATTAATTAAAAAAAGAAAAAAATAATGAAAAATAATCATAAAAAAAAGAAAAGGATAGATAAGGTTTCAGACATTTTAAGAAATTCCTTCTTTTGAGAGAAAAGATATGACTTTAATCAAGACATCTTCTATCCCAAGACTTCATATTTCTCAAAGAAGTCGATGTACTTGCAGGCATCCCTTTTTCATTCAACTTTCTGATGTAAAAGACGTAACTCTCAAAGATCTTGGCCACTGTCATTCTCTCCCAATGTATTTTGGGTTTTCTTTAGTGATTAAGTAAAGATGCGTAAGCGTGGTACGTCCTATTCTGAATCGGATCTGACTTCCTCTCTGCTATAGAACTTCTCCATGGTTTTACATCACTCTTTATAATCTTCAGTTTATTTGAAGAGTTGTTGACCAACACTGACTGCCAATCTTGGTATAAGGCTTCCTATAGTGGTCGCGCCAATTCGGTATTTCGGTATTTCTTAATTCTTGATTTTTAATATATTTATTCTTTAATTTTTGTATTTGTTTGTTAATTATTTATATACATAGTTATGAACAAAAACACATTAAAGAAAATAAATATATTTAAAAAAAAAGAAATGAAGAAATAAAATAATAAAGAAAGAAAAGGACAAAATATTTATTATAGAAGCAATACTAGAGGTATTTGAATAGATCTATTTAAATGAAAACAAAATGTGAATTTAATACTTCACGGTCGTTGAATATATGAGATCATAAATTAAATATATTATATACTCAAGTTTTTAAATAGTTTTATATATGCAGCCTAGAAGCCAAAAGAAATGTATATATGTATATTGAAAAAATAATGAAAAATCCGCGAAGGGGGAAAACCTAAGTAAAATTAAAAAACTATTAAAAATTAAGAAAATCTATAGGAAAGAAAAATAAATTATGTTGCTCTACTTTTAGAATGTTAGAAGTATGTAGAAAGTTTATCGTTAATGAAATTAGTTTTAAATTGGATGTTAATTAATTCAGTAATCAAAATAGTATAAAACATCTAGAGAATAAATAAAAATAAATAGAAGAATAAATAAAATACGGGTGTGAAAGGATTTGTTTGTAGTAATCACATTTATTTCTTATTATTGAAGTCTAATAAAAATTTATTTGGTCTTTCAATCAATCTGCCAATTCAGGCAAAGTACTGAGGAATTTTATAAGATAGACTATATTTTAATTAATTATGGATTCAAATTATAATTAGTCACGTTAAAAATAATTCCTTTGTCAATATCTTTTTTTTATTATTGAAACCACTTCTTAGACTATCATCGTATAACAATGATGATATGAAAAACAATATCATACTGTAATGAAGGCAATATTACAAATTTGTGGAAGATAATGTTGAATTAATAAAAAAAAACGTATAGACGATCTATCTTAATAAGAATACCTTTGTTTTTAAAATAATGAAAATAAATCAATAGGCGAAGAATGGTTATTTTCATTCATAAAGCAGCTAATTAAAAATTGTTGACTATTACTTTTCCCTGTTTAATTCAGAAGAGAATCTTCCCAAGAAATGATTCTTGGCACGCTGAGACTTACAACTCAGGGAAAGTTTTTAGGGTCCACAGTTTCTCTTGTTTTCATTTAATAATGGAGAGTTCTCTAATGAAATCTTTAAAATTTTCTTTATTAAAGAGAGAGAGATGTTCAATTTTAGAAATAATACAATGATATTTCAGGAAAATTATAACTTCTTTAAAATCATTCAATTATGAATTACTAAATTATATTTCTTATTCGGTTAACTGGTTTTATCTTTTATTCAGTTCAAATTAATATTCAGATTTTGTTCTGCCTCTAATATCAGCACTTAACTTACTTTATGTTATATATTAATGTATTGGTATTTATATCGAACAAAAGTTAAAGTTTAGTACAATTCTACATCCAAAATAAAAATTGTTTTAGTTTTTTAAAGTAAATCTCAACAATTCATCTCTTTTTTCACAGTTCGCAGGTGTTACTCATGGTACTATCCTTGGTCCCATCCTTGATACAGTTTATACAGTTGACATCCCAACCCATCCTGACACTGTCATCACCATGCATGCTGATAACACAAGTATCCTTTCTTTTAATAATGATCCATCAACTGCATCTCAAACACTCCAATCACATATCACAAACCTTGAAGAATGGTGTAAGAACTGAGGAATTAAAATAAGTTACAATAATTCCCATCAAATTACCTTTACCCTGCGTCGCAAACCTATGATCTCCTGTCCTACAATATCCTTTAACGATTCCCCACTTATCCCTGTTGAACAAATCCGTTACCTAGGACTTCACCTGGACAAACGATTCACACGTAATCCTCATACAACATTGAAACGACAAAAAACCGCTAGACGTTTCCAGCTACAGCAGCAGTTACTAGACAAAAGTTCTATGCTTTCCCTAAATTACAAACTCATATATATGACAATAATAAGTCCTATTTAGACTTACGGAATTAAGCTTTGGGGCTCCACTAAACCATCGACTTACTTTCGTATCCAATCCTTACAATCCAAAATTCTTACTGCTCCTTACTTTGTTACAAATAAAATCACCCATAATGACCTTAATGTTCCAATTTGGCCCAATCTAGATACCTATGCTTCCATAACAAACTTCAGAACCATCCGAATCCTTGTTTCCTCCTCGATCCCTGATAACCCTCCGAGGCGTCTGTAAAAAAGGTGGCCACTTGATCTTCTTGTGTAAATTTATTATTCGAGTGCTACAGTATAGTAGTTTCTCAACAAGCGATTTCATGTTATTATATTCCTGAGTGCACATTTACTAGATGTATTTTTTTTTATAATTCAGTTGTAAATATCAATGAATAAAAAAAATATATATATTTCGTGAATTCAATACAAAAAATTTGAGGTGCATGATGCAATTGAAGTTACTACGAAATTATTCACAAGAGTAAGAGATCTAAACTGGTGACCCAATTTCTCTCAATTCGTAGATTACACAAACCTGCAGATCTACTTAGCTACAGCACAATACAATGAACCATGAACATAATGTATTCAGACAACACAACACAAATGATGATTGCCTTATCTATTATAATCCGCCCAAGGAGGTTTAACGTGCCAAGGAGGTATGAGGGAGGTAGGTATAAGCAAACGAGGTGTTAGGAAGGAGACATCCCAAGACCACAATCAGCCGGATCCCAGTCCCCGCCGGGTCTAACAAGACTAAGCCAGCCACCTTATCCTCGACACTATTCCCCCTATAATACACCAAACCAGCTGCGTGGTTTGGATGGAGTGGTTTCCATCTCGCAGATATCCCCAAACATCTTCGGAGTTATAGGTTCTTCAGCTATCTCAGCTACTCCTGCGTAGTGGGACTGAGAACTAGTCAACTTATAAACTATTGAGAGTAGAAAAATGCCTTGAAATCATTTAAAAAATATTCGAGTAATCTATATTGAAATTATCAACTCATGAATGAACCTAAGTCTGAAAACTAAAAAAAAATTTCAGCTACTGACTTTTTGGAAATAGAACCATGTTTTTTTTTTTCAACAAAAGTAGTAAAAATTAAACATTTGCCATATTAATAGTAAACTATTAAATCTCTTAATTTCGGTTTTTTTTTTTTGTTATCGCTTACATAGTAACCCTATTTAGGAGCAGTTTATATTCTCAGTAATACTTCATGCGAATTCCGCATATCATATGTATAAATGTTTGGTTTAGATTTTGGTTAGACAATTGTTGTTATTTTTGTATGTCTTTAAAGATTTCTGTGGACATTAAACAAAATCATAAGAAAGTATCTAAAACAAAAAGGTAAAAATTAAAGCTATGTATGGAATAGTTATTAAAAGATAGAAAGTAGTATGTATTAATAATAAATAAACTAAATTTAAATAAGTTAATTTGAAATTTTAAAGGTTTTTTTGTGAATGAAAACATTAAAATGAAATGTAGTAAGAAATGGATAAATTTACTTCCAAAATGTAAATAAAAATATTACAAGATATATATACATATATACATTAACCAAGACGATAGTAATGACTAAAGTTAAGGTATTACCACTGAAAAAAAATATAAATAGGACTATGAAAAAATATAGATACATTTAAAAATTTAAATACTAATAATATAACTGAATATGAATCAAAATTAAAAAAAAAAAAAAAGGACAAGATTTATATTTTCAGCATTTAAAACCATAAAATAAATTAGTATCTTACAATTTTTCATCATTTTTGGCATTCATTTTCGAAAAAAACACATTTACAGAAATTAACATCTACTGTTTATTTATAACTAAGAAAAAATTAGTAACGTAAATTAGTAGTAAAATTAGTAAAAATTACTAACGATAAAATGATTGATTTATATAAAAAACATAGTAAGATCTTAATGTAATTAACATAAAATTTATAAAGTATTTAAATTAGTAGAAAAAGGCCTTATCAGCCTCGATAAATAATTAATTAATTTCAAATTTATAAAAACTTACGGACAGAGATTATTTGAATAATGTGAGAGAGGAAATCTTTAAAATTCTCAAAAAGAATGCATACTCGCTAATTACTACTTCTTGGTATGAAATACTAAAGGAAAGAAATAAAACTTAAAGATCAAAGTAAGGATAGTCTATTGTTTTCAAGATATAAACATTTAATATATATAAAAACCTTTCAGAATCCTTCCACAAAAACATTTTTGGAATACATAAATGTCTTCACTGTCCGAATTATTATAAAGGCATGAAAACTCATAATCACGACAATAGACTTTAGCAACATAAAAATTCATGTACTGATTCTATGGACAAAAATGAAGGGACAATAGAGCCTAAAACATTTTTAGCCAGACATGTTACATCCGACTTAAAACATAAATTTGACTTGAAAAATCGGTAATCCTCCATCGAGATAATTCTGAGCAAAAATTAAAATACTTGGAGGCACTTTACATATCAGTGAGCCTTGATAGTGAGATAAATTTTAAAACTGGTTCCAAGAATTTAAATAATTGTTTTTCTATAAATATCGTGAATAAACAATGATATTAATAGACGACTGATTGAAGTATTTCTTAGGTAATAAAACAGAAATAAAAATTTTACTATTACATAATTTAAAACAAGAATTTATTTAAAAATTTATATATTGTAGGTATATATAGATGAGACATATATATATATATATATATATATATATATATATATATATATAAATTAATGTTCGATAATGATAGATTTAAATAATTTATATTAAAATAATAATATATTCTGGTTTTAATTTTAATTATTTAGTTAATATTTTAATGTTGGCAAAGCCTCTCCTCCTTAAAGGACTGGTCTCATTCGGTTGTGTTCTTTGATTAGGTGTGCAAGAGACTGCAATTCTATAAGCTAGTAAATTTTTATATTTTAATATATATATATATATATATATATATATATATATATACATAATTGGTAATTGGTTGACTGTCGTGGATAATGAAGAGAAGAATAGTTGGGTTGGTCAGTAAAAAAGGAAGTGGTCCTTTTTGACTGACCAATCCTCTGAAAGATTTTTGTCATATTTTTTTCATGTGAAAATTATATGTAAAATCAGATGATGCCTGAAGAGGCAAAAGTTTGGATAAATTTGAAATAAAGTAATTATTTATCGAGACTGAAAGGGTCGTTTTCTACTAATACTTATCATAGTCTCTTTCCCAATATCATTTGTTATAAAAATATTTAAAGTTAATATAGGTAAGTTCCTAAACTCATAGATAATTCCATCAGGGAAATTCATCAATCCATTAAATATTAAAGCGATAGAAACAAATACAGTATATATATATATATATATATATATATATATATATATATATATATATATATATATATATATATATATATAATTTTCAAAAGGTTGGTTCCTTGCAATAGTAAAATTTATTCTTCTTAAAATTGTGAGATTGATCAATACTCCAGTTCTATTTTCCTGATGGAAATTAACAATGTCCTTTCCTTGCTGTAAGGAAATGAATACGCTGAAGAGAGATGGGCCAAAACTTTCTTCTTGTAACAAACCGGAGTTGATTGCAATTTCCTCTGAGGTTTCTGTACCAATTAATTAATTAATTTACAATGCAGAAAGAATTGGAAGATATAAGCGAACTGTATTACCATAATTATAAACATTGACTGTATCAGAATGACAAAACAGATGACCCAGATTCAAACAAACTTTATCCTCTGCAATCAAATTTTGTTATACTTTTCTTTATACAAATTTATTTTTATTCAACGAAATACTTTTTAAAAAATTTGAAAAGGAGGATTAGAATATTTTCTACTTGTTACTTAAATAACTGAATTCTAGACTAATAAAATCGATATCAACCATCGAAATCCCCGTCCTCATAGCATCGATTCGGATACAGAATGCAGATTAAATAAAATTTTCGAATAAAATCAGAATCAGAAAACTCATACTCTTATAATCATATATGGTTATATTATAAATAGTCGCTTATTTTTTAGATGAACCCTAATTATTTTGTTTGGAAATCGAAATAAGTATCGATTTCCATGTAAAAACACCCAATTAATCCGATGGTGCAGTTATTCTTTTATTTTTTCCAAAATGAATCTAAATACTAAAGCAATTTGATGTAAACATTATTTTTGTCGTCTTCTTTTCTCAATAATGTAATGAAACTTACACTTTTCAAGTATTCTTAAAGACATTTTCATCAAACTCTTTTTTAACAGTTTTATTCCAATAAAAACAAAATATAAATTAATTTTATGGTACTATTATTGTAAGCAAAAAGCAAAATTTTTATATTTGTTCTGCGTGGATAATACACCATTTATTCTTTCTAAACGGAATCTCATTAACACTTACGAAAATTGGTTTTGAATATGAATTCTTTCCAAAAGTGGCCCTTATTAAGTTTCAATGTTTTTTATTTACTATTGAAATTTCAAATGATTTCATTATTATTGAAAAAATATTTGCATTTTTTTTTTACTTTTTAATTGAGAAATATTACATTCTGCCTCCATTAAGAACATTTATTATAGAGATCAAAGAGCATATTCACACCTCATTTGCAGAAAACATTAATAAATAAAGCAATAGCATACTATCGTATGATATAATAAATTTATAATAATTATAAGTAAGAAAATACTATATATAATTAAATAAATTAGAAAAAATAAATGAATTAAATAAAATTTACTTAAACATTAAAATAAATATCTAAGACACAGCATATTTATGACATTTTAATTAGAATAAAAATTGTAGTTTTTTCTTTTTTCTTTATTTTATTTTATTTATTCACCCACAAATGTCATAAGCAATGAAAATTAGCGGGTCTGCTGTCGGTAACTGTACAGGTAGTGGTTTGATCGGCGTGATGGAGAGGAGTGCCCAGCGGCATCCCTTCCTGTCTTGATTTTAGCATATTTTTAAGCGAGGAAATCCCTCATCCAGGTTCTTTTGAGCCTCCTACGTGTGTTTTCGGGGATATTAAATGTAGCCATACCTTGTATAAGTGTGTTAATATGTCCATGTAAGTTATTGTGAAATCGCTTGTAGTTTGTCCGTATATGATCGTTAACTGTTGGCATTTGAAGGTCTTTATGTAATGTAATGTTTGTGACGTACCTAGGAGCTTTGGATATGGTTCTTAAAGTTTCAGACTGAAAAGTTTATAGTTTTCGTATGTGGGTCGTTTTGGCTGTCCCGTAAATTTGTGAAGCGTAGGTCCATATGGGCTTAAGTAGATAATTGTAAGTTTTCAGTTTTTGTTTTAAGTTTAATTTTGAGTGTCTTGAGAGTGTAACATTCGTAGTCTGAGGTTTAAAGTTTTTCTTTTTTTTTTTTTGATACGTGGACCCCATGTCATTCTTTTGTCGAATGTCAGTCCAAGATATTATATTTTATATGTTTGAAGAATTTCGGCATTGTCTAGGTGTGTGTTTCTGTTTTCTGAAAATTTGTTAGTGATCATTATGGTATAATTTACAAACAAACGACCGGAATGTTTCTGCTGAAAAAAAGAAAGAAATATACTACATTTCATCTAGAAACTGACGAAAACTAACTAACTGAACATTAGTCTACCTATAAAATACCTGTACTATACTTATTTTGTTCTGTTCTTAATGCTATGTGTATTCATTCAGTTTCTAGTCTAAGTATTTATTTTGAGGCATATTGAGCTTGAAGTAGCAAGAATGTCGTAGCATCACATTACATTAAGATCTTTAATTTTTAATTAAATTTAAGTAGATCAAATGCTTCAATCTTTTCACCAAGTTAATGTCGTAATTTTTTTTAAGATAACATGCTTCTATTACTCCATAT